AAACTTCGTTTTTTTCGAAACATTTTTTATTTCTTTCGTATTATATAATACAGACAAAATGTCAAGACTACGGCAGAGCAAGTCAGGTGTTTTGCAAAGTCAGAAGTCAAATCAAGTCAAGATAACTCAAGTCAAGTCTGACTTGACTTACCCAGCTCTGAATTCATTCAAATGGTGTGAATAAATATAGTTCAATTTCAATGAGATGCATGAACGAATAAAAAAATCAAAAGAGAAGATACCTCTTAATAACCGTATGGCTCAACATGGGAAAATATTTTGACTATTCTGATTTGATTTAGGCACTCTCTTTAATATATTTGACCTGATTTGATAAAAATTTCTAATTTTCGGAATTTTGATTGACTTGGAAAACGTTTTAAGGAAATTTGATTGTACTAGACATGACTTGATTTGCTCAGCCCTGATCAAGACGATAGTGTAAATCTATACAGAATAAGTGAATAAAATACAGAACATATATACGGCTAATTCAGAGCGACTTAACGCAAAAGAAAGTGGCTTTTTTAATTTTCTTTAGCTTCGAATAGAAAGCAAGAATTCTCTGGATTCAGGAGGTTAATAATTTCGGAAAATATTTTGTCTCAAAAAAAAGTTTTCAGATTTATTTTTATTCAGCTTTATTCGGTCTGTTTAATTTCTATTGAAGTTTATTTTGAAAAGCTTTTTATCGTTTGTATACATTATTTATCCTTTTCTTTAATTAAAATACTAAATAATAATCATTATCAACTCTAAAATATCAAATAACACGGAAATTAAATTTTTGATTCACAACTTCCACTAAATGTATTCAAATACAAATAAACTGAGAATGAAAATGTAACTTGAAAAGTTTTTAAAAAGTTTTAAAGGTTTATTTCATTATGCAAATTAGTGGCGTAACCAGGATTGAGGGTGGTTGGGCTGCACCCTAACGTTTTTCAAAAAACCTATTTTTGCTGATGTATAACTTTTTTTCGTAGAACAACAATCCAATAATGCATTTTACTTGAAAAACATTTTTTAAAATAAGTTTTCATTTGCTTATTAAAAAGAAATACAGAATTATAAGGCTTTGCTATAAAAATTTCTATTGTACTTGTGCAAATCAGCAAAATTCTCCATTAGTTTTTCAAAATTGATGTGGAAATCGGGTTCCAACGCCAAAACGCGCAAATCACCCAACTGAGCATTTGAGAGTGTACTACGTGCGATTGTTTCTATAAATTTCATCTTATTAAATATTCTTTTGTGAGTGATAGGTAAAACAGGTATTCATTTTTCACAGTTACTATCGACAATGGGATCATAATTAGGGCTCTCAAGTATGCAAAAACGACTACTTTTCGTCGTTTTTAGATGCATTTACACGCATTTTGCCCGAAAAAGCGTTTAAACGCACAGAAAGAAAGAAACGTGACAGCTTTTCGCTCACACTTTGGAATTCCGACTGTCATACGAACGAGCCTGCTTTTTCTGAACTTTTCTCTTTTTGTGTGTTTAAGCGTATTCAAACAAATTCTACATTGCTAGAGTAATAGTTCAGCATAGAGACTAATACTGTTTATTTTTGAATCTTTCAACATCTGCTAGAGAATTTTAATTTAAATCCATAATGAGAAAAATTACCTTACATTTGCAATGTAAACGTTTTTAGTCTCAACTAAAAAAGAGATCAGAGCGATGGAAAACGTGGCGTGTTTTATTGGGTCTAGAGTTATAAAAGAAAACATTTTTTTTAAACGGCCGGTGATAGAATGCAGAGCTAGGGTGGTTGGGCTCAGCCAACCATGCCCTACCCTGGTTACGCCACTAATGTAAATAAATATTCATATGAAATTGACAAACATATGATTANTGATGAATTGGCGAATCGCGACAGGTTCTTCTGAAAATAATAAAAAATGTGGAAACTTCGGATTTCATCCGAGAGTTATGTGTACTGCAAAAAGTACATGGCACATATGAGTCATTCTAGAATGTCTGAACACCAAAATTATCATGAGAAACTAGGCACTTTGGTTTCTAGATGCAGTTTTTGTGCATTTTGAGACCGTTTTCAGGCGATATTTCGTTAGAAAGCTACGATTTAGTTCAAAACTAGTATCAGATTCGGAATCAGCGTTAAAAACTGAGTCGATTTATATACGTATGTTGTGAATAATTCTGAGAAAATTTTTTTTTTCAAAAAATCCCTATACCCCCCTCAGGGATGGTCTGGTCAATAATGACAATTTTTTCGACAACTCAGCCATTTCTTGACAGATTGCTTTTATCTTCGAACTCGACTGAGATATTGATGAGATCATTCTGTGTACAAAATTTCATGACAATTGGATGAGGCTTTTGAAAAGTTATCGTGTTAACGCCGGACGGACACACTGACCGAATCTAGAGTGTACTCATTTTTTTTTGAGTACACAATAGGTTTTTTGTGGTCTTTTTTGCAGTATTTTTGGTTTTTCTGTAGGATCGATAGGTCTTTGGAAAAAAATAGTGCATTCGATAGAGCTCGTCGAGATCTATCTGGGCCCGATGTTTGTTCAATTTGATCTGATGAATTAGCGAATAGTTTTGGAAACTACGCGAATCCTGACCTAAGATATCCTACGTGCATTCCAATAGATGTGAACAAGTTTGAGACTGACATGTTATCTCTTGTCAGATTGGTAGTTGTAAAACGATTGGATCGTATCGTTAACATACAAACTTGACGAGCAGGGACGACACAGTTCACGATTTTCGAACTTGTACTGGAATCGCCAATTGCTAGCGACCAGTCCTAAGTATGTTTCAATAGCCAAGCTATAACACGTACGTTTGCCACCGAAAAACAATATAAAAGACGTCGAAAATAGTACAGCATGCGTGTTTATTGAAATTTACCTTTTTTCATCCTTCATGTGACATGCATAGAAGCGAACACGTGGTGAATAATTCGAACGTCGATAAAAAAAAAACAAGCATTTATCGCATTACTCACTTACCTACGGATTTTTCGTCTTTATATCCCAAATTCATGACGATTAGGTTTCATTACTGTAGCGATTTTCTTGATAATCAATTCTCATTTTCGCATTCTAATCGAGATAACAATACTGAATTCATTCAATGTGATAAACCGCAGTAGTACACGAGTAAGAATAGGTTTTTTTTTAAATCTTGAGGGTGGGTGTGGGATTTAGTCTTGTCTTTATTCACACCCACACCCACACCCTTAGATTTTTTGTTTTGTTTCCAATAGTAACTATTCAGGCATGATGTGATTCACTAACAGTTGAGCGGGTGTGGGTGTGTTTATGATATAATTCCAAGCTACTTACGACGTGTTTCGATCAGAGCTTAATTTGATCATGATCAGGTAAATTTGAAATTAATTGAATGTACATCGAAATTAAATTGAATCCTAAATTTTTAGAATTAATATAAAAGTCAAAGAGAAAATGTCAAGAAAGACAAGAAGTCAAAGACTTTTAACAGAATTCTGAATTTAAGATAATTATGTATAGGGTGTGGGTGTGTTTTCGAAGAGTTCGATTTCAAGCTCTATACGACGCGTTTCGACTATTGCTTAGATAGTCATCATGAGGTATGTTAAGAATCTAGAACTACATGGATAACAAATGACAATCTTTTGAATAAACCTATATATTCAGAGATGAATTTTTCAATAAAATAGTTGAAAGACCATCTAGATGAAAGTTCAAATTGAAAGGAGTATTCGAAAAGATAGGTATTTGTTAAGAAATCGTAGTTAATCTAATAATGGGTGTGTTTCATATCAGATAGATTGAAAGCATCATACGACTCGTTTGGACTGTTTACTTATTTTTGTGTCTTCAATTAGTTACTGGGGCTTTGTTGGATTTGCTATAGATTTTTTTCAGTAGCCTTTGTTTCCATGTCTGCTCTCTGTGTTATTGAAACTCGGGAGTTGAGTGTATATTTCAAAGGGGAGAGATGCTATATGAAATACTAACATCCCTTATTGCGGTTTTGGCGATGTTTAGGCTTTAGTGATATTTATTGTTGTTTATTTTGCAATGGGAAAGTAAAAATAAGAGTACATTATTTGAATGTTGAGGTTTTTTCGTTGTAGACTGTTGACTTTTCATCAGTCAAGTTGTTGGCAAGAACTTGGTTGTCGTTGGTGCGCTTGGTTCCATGCGTCGTAGTGTTTGTCGTGGTGGCATTTTGTAGATAAAGCGTGTTTCCAGAGTGCGTCCAAGTATTGGTACGACCCTTATAGTAACTGTTGCGAGTTGTAATGTGTGAGATGAATTATATTGTCGCCATCATGCTTTCAATTGCTTTAGTCGATCTCTAAGTATGTTTGAATCATAATGGTAACGAGGATAGATTGTGTTTTTGTCCCATTGTTTCGTTTGTAGTATGGTTGGGGATTGAATAGAATATTGTGTCATGACGCTCAATAGCTTTTCCCTTCGAGTTTGCTGATGAAGTAGTTGTTCATATAGTCTACGATATAGATATTCATTGTGTTCTTTTTGTAGGAGAGTCGCATTATTGAAATGGTAGAATCGACGAAATTGTTGAGAAATAAAATATGGATGATAGCTGTTCAATAAGAGTGACATGTTAGACGAATACATTCCATATTGAAATCATGTATATTGGAACAAATGCGAGCAGCACGTAGTAACGCAAGGTGTGGGGGTGGGGATACGGGTAAGTTTGGGTGTAGATCTCTTCATCCATATGCACGCTCACACCCCCACCCTCAAGCTCATTTCAAACGAATATTTCAGAATTCGATTATCGTTTTTTTATGTGCTCAAGCAATTTTCAATTCGTCTTTCTGACTAGCTAGCGATCAGTCGCATTTTTAGTTTATCCGTATTTTGCACTCGAGTGACCTCGATTTTCTGCTCTTCTCTTTTTTTTTCTAAAAACTCTTTTTTAGTCTTTTTTGAAAATTTTTCTTTCACCCGTACCTGAGTCAGAACTCATACGCAAATTTTAGGTGTTTTCCGGAAATGCCTCCGAAAACAGGAGATGGGGTTGCCGGTGGTAAGCAGCGGAACCAAAACCTCGACAAAAAAATGAACCAAATTCATCAAACAGCTGATAAAAATGGTCATTCACAAGTTGGAAGACCATCATTAGTTGGAAAATCCATCAAATCAAAATTCACCATTGCCCCTCTCATTATAGAGGGCGTCAAGATCAGCAAGCTCCAACTTAATGATCTATTAAAACAGCATTTAAATGATGTTAATATTCATGATATACAACTTAGTAGATCTGGATCATTTACATTATATGCTAGTGATGCTAGCTCATTTAACCGTCTGTTAAATGAATTTACATTAATATTAGCAGCAAACGGTCAATAAACAGCCAAAATAGTTGTTCCTCGATCAATTCAAAGAATCAAGGATACAGAAATGGTCGCTTTCGTAAAGAGAGTCGACCTCGAAATAACAGATAATCGAATATCCGAAGCACTAACGAAAGTTGGTCTCGATGTTACCAATGTTACTCGATTAAACCGAAAAGAAGGTAATATACCAACAAGCACCATTAAAATTACATTTAAAGATGCAAATAATCGAAACACATTTATCCATACTGGACTGCAAGTGGATTTGATGCACTTCAATGCTGAAGCTGCATCACAAAATAAAAAGCCAGTACAATGTTACATTTGTCTTCAATACAATCATGTAGCTAAGTACTGCAAAACAAAACAGCAAATATGTGCTAAATGCGGTGATAACCATCGTATCGAGCAATGCACTGCTGCAAATGATGCAATTAAATGCAACAATTGTAAAGGTAAACATTTGGCAACTGCTAATGAATGTCCTAACTTTTTAGAACAAGAAAAGCGAATGTTGAATTTAATTAATCAATATTCGTCCACGAACAGCCCAACAACCACTACACCATTATTACATGATAGCAATGAATTTCCTTCATTACCAAACATGTATCAACGTCAACAAGATCTTATCCATAATGATATCCTCGATGAACTTATCAATCTACTTACCAGTAAGATGGAAAAAATCATCGAAGAAACAACCAAACGATTATTTAAATCACTTCAACAGAAGATCAAAAACATCGAAGAAACTATCTCATCAGTTGAAACCTTAATCAACGACGATGCAACATCATCATCATCATTCTCGGATAGTGATGAAGATGTTCAAATAGTTAATACCAAAAACCAAAAACAACCTCCAACACCAACCACGAAACCAAAGAAACAAATTAACAAACCAACCACTACATCTGCTGCAACAACAGCAAAACCAACAACAACCACAAACGCAACTAAAACACCAACACAATCATCTATCACAACTAATGATAGTATTAAAAAACCAACACCTAAACCAAAACCAACAGCATCAACATCCAAAAGAAATCGATCACTCGACAGTTCACTGGACTCGACGATAATGGACACTAAAGATCGCAAAACAGGCACGATCAATGATTATTATCTGTCACATTAACATCAACTCAATTACAAAAAAACAAAGTTGAACTCCTAGCCAGATTCTCCAAATACGACGTCATATCTTTAAATGAAACTAATCTAAAGAGTGAACGACAGTTCTCTCTCCTAGGTTACACCATCTTCAGAAATGACCAAGTAGGAAAACCTGGTGGCGGAGTATTATTAGCAGTCAAAGAACACATTAAATGTCGAGAAATTATCAATAAAACATCACACCAGAACGAAATAATAGCAGTTCAAATTGAAACGCTATTATGCAAATCGATATTGATATCTTCAATCTATGTTCCACCAACAGCTAAGATTGATATGAATATCTTCCAAGAACTCTACAAAATCAACAACAACTGCATTATTGTAGGTGATCTCAACGCAACATTATCTGAAATGGGATCATCAAAGACAAATGCAAGAGGAAAACAGCTGCAAGAATTACTTAATGAAGGTCTTATCGAATGTGTCGACGATGATAGTACAACATTTGAAAAAAATGAATATGAAGCCAAATTAGATTGGATACTAGGAAGTCAACCACTCCTATCATTCATAACAAATGTTGAAGCACACCCAACCATCGGCACAATAAATGGACACAAACCATTAACATTCGATATTCAAATTGGAGCTGAAGCAAAACCAACCTCTCCAAGATTATCACTCAATTTTAAAGCAGCAAAATGGACAAAGTTCAGATCCAAACTAGATCAACAACTGATACTATGGAATAATGATCTTAGTTTAAATTCATCTTTAGACATAGAAGATTATTCAACGTTTATTACCAATAGTATAATGTTAGCAACTCAAGAAGCCGTTCCAACATCTACACCAACGAGCAAAAGTTATACATTAAGTGAAGCATGCAAGAGCTTGATCACACTGAAACATCAAGCATATCGAAGATAGAAGAGGATCGGAGACAATATAGACAAACGTCAGTATTATGTGACGATTTCTGATAGAAGAGATGCCTGTGCTGATGGTATTACACTTTATTTAACTCTTCAAATCATAAATCGCCTCGATTACATATAAAGTGCGCGCTTAAATACTCAACCATTTGAGAGAACGAAGGAGAATGAGAGATAAAGACAAACATCAAGGACAGAAAGGTAAAGGCAATGTATGTGATATTTGAGAGAACGAAGGAGAATGAGAGATAAAGACACATATCAAGGACAGAAAAATAAAGGCAATATACGTTATGAGAAGAAATGGCACATTAAGGCCAAATACCATGCATAGACCACACTCGAACGGGAGCGTTACACTCTCGCGTGGAATTTGGACGCTCTCTGCATTTATCGTTACATATTACAACTCCAAAATCTTACTAACAAGCTCACTTAGAAATGACAGAAGGGACAACCTTAACAAGTTAATGTCGTCTTTATGTCATAAACAAAATGTATTCAGACAAGGTTTGGCTTACAGTTCGCAAGTTCCATAGCAAAAGGATCAAGCAAACTTTTACAAGCAGCATAACATACCACAACACGACAGCAACATCAGATAAAGAAAAAGCAGACTTATTTGCGGATTACTTCGAAAATGATGTCTACTCTTACACTGATGATACACTGCCATTTCATGATCAAGTAACAAGTCAAGCAACCAACATCAAGAACAAACACATAACCTCTTTAAACACACCCAAGTGGAAACAAATTACAATAGAAGAAGTTAAATATCATATTAAACAACTTCGTAATAGCTCAGCTGGTCCAGACAACATTCATAATAGGTGTTTGAAAAACTCTTCAGAATTACTTATTCAGCATTTAACTAAGCTGTTCAATCAAATTCTGAAGCAAGGTTATATTCCAACGAAGTGGAAAACGGCTAACATTATACTTATAATGAAACCGAAGAAAGACAAGCAACATCCGGCTAGTTATCGACCGATTCGTCTCCTTAGTTACTTAGGCAAACTATTGGAGAAAATAATCAAACAACGACTAATACTTGAACTCGAACGAAGAAACATCTTACCAGAACATCAAGCCGGCTTTAGACCAGGAGAAAGCACAATTTACAACATTCTGCGATTAGAACGATACACTCAGAATCAACTTCGATGTGCTCGAAGGCACTCAGCGGTAATTCTATTCGATATCAAAGGTGCAATTGATTCAGTATGGCATGACGGTCTTATATACAAATTAAACGATCTTAGATTCCCCAAGTACATCATCAACTACTTAACATCAATTCTTAAAGATCGAACCGCATCAGTCGAAATTGAAAATGTCCTATCCAGACAATTCAACTTAAAGAACGGTACTCCACAAGGATCTCCATTATCACCACTACTATATATTATATATACAGCAGATTCGATGAATGATATACCGACTCATACAGAACATAGACAATTCGCTGATAATACAGCACTCTGGACGTCATTGAACACCATGACATATTTATCATCCAGATTACAACAATCCGTAGATGCATTCGAAAGTTGGTGCAAGTCATGGAAATTAAAATTGCAACCAACTAAAACAGAAATGATCCACTTCACCATTCATCCAAGGAAGAAGTATAAACATTCAGTGGAAGTTAAACTTGATAACACAACTATTAAACCACTGGATCATACATGATACTTGAGTGTCATTATAGACAGACAATTAAATTGGCAACGACACCTCGATCATATCGAAACCAAGATTGCTCCTCGAATCGGTCTACTTCGTTATCTATCGAGAAGAGCATACGAACCCAACAGCAGGACGTTGATCAACATCTTCAAATCAATAGCACGATCAATCATTATATATGATTACACAGTACTATTAACTACTGATCATAATGTATGTAGTCGAATACAGATCATACTAAATAAAGCATTTCGAGCTGCACTAGGTCTACCAATTTACACATCACTCGACTACATTCACAAAATTAGTAATATTCCAAACATCAAGGATTATGCGACAACATTACTAAAACAGGCCATCCAAACATCAACAGCAAATAAAGACATTACATCGAGAAAATATCTTCAAGATATACTTGAAAAAATTTCATGAAAGAAAACACCAACCCACTATACAATATCATCCTCGAGAAACTAGACCATTCCTGGGTCCATCGGATCTGTATGAAAATTGTTATATCAGACTCGCATACGTAGAGTTTTTTCATATATAGCGAGAAATGAGACAACTTATTTGCTGACTAGTTTTTCTGTTCAGCTATTTTCGTTCTCTTTCCTTTTTCAGATTGTTCTTTTTCTTCGATCAAATATTCCTAAAAATAGAAAAAAGAAGTTGCCGAATAAAGAAACGTTTAGATTCTTACACGATGAGATACTAAATCAACTTTAGTAAATTTTAGCTTTCGCCCCGACAATAGATGACCATAAGACTGTCGTTTTTTCAGTAATACATCAGATACACAGCCATATTGTTGACGCTCACGTGAAAATTGTTGTTTCAATGCTGATGTTAACAGACTCTAAATGAGAAAGAAAAATATGATGGAAATAAGAAGAATATTGAATGCTATATAAGTTATACCATATCTTCACCGAATACTTTACTGAGTGCTGGATATTTGTTTTTCACACNTACATATTCAGATGCTGTTGGATAAAAATCAACACCATAGGAGTTGACTACATCATCACGAATCGTTTTAATTAACTGTTGTTTTTTTCTGCATCGAAGTCCAAAATCTGTTGTTGATGGGTTTTCTGCAGCTTTCTCAAAAGCTTTATCGAATTTCGGAAGCACATAATTCAATGGAAATACTTTTTTTGGCTGAGAAATTGATATAATTGAAGAAGTATGTAATGATCGATGGATTGTTTCATCCGGTGCTACATTTGTTGGCGGTAAAAAAGTTGGATTCGATGACGATTGACCATTCAACTGGTCTGAAACATAAGAATTCGATGACGATTGACCATTCAACTGGTCGGAAGCATAAGGAATCGATAAAGAACCATTGAGATGATCTTCATTATCAATAACAACATGTTCCGTATCAAAACTCAAATTATGAAAAAATGATAAATTATTTGAAACACTTGAATTTATTTCTTGTATTAATACGTCTGATTGCTTGTCATTTAATGTCATAATATTACTAAATGAAGCAAAGAAAATATGTGCGATCAGAAATAAAGAATAGACGCTCACCTAGAACTTGAAATCATATCTGTTTTTAGCACCTCCAGTTTCTTTTCGAACGTTGTTTTAGAACCTATTGTTGGCTTTTTAATAACATTATCAACAGTCTTGATTGATAAAAGTTCATCGATTGATGATGAACTCAAATTCAAAAGAGATAAGCCATCAATTTCTTCTTCTAAAATAAAATAAAATAAAAAATAGATTTCACATAAAAAACAAATTCCTAAATACCTTTAAATTTATCTATGTATTTGTCAAAGCCATTCTCCGTCAACCACATTGAAACATCTTGATGACTCCAATCCATCGAAAATTTATCTATAACAGAACACAAAGAAAAATATAGATGATTTCAGCTTTTTGAAGCCGTTTCAGAAAATAAATGAATACCAAATATTTATTAAATATCTAATTAATAAATCAACATAAGTACATACAAAAAATCATTCGATAATAGTTAATCGATAAGGTACACGAATGAAATATGAATTATTTATATAATAACAATCTTCTGATTTATGTGTTAAAAATTCATCTTTACTTAATATATTATTATTGTTTGATGGTCTTATTTCATAACACCATAAATTTTGTCGAAATGTAATTGTATCATAACATTGAACAATAAACCGCCATTGTTTGACTATATGAATAATAAATTTAATTTTAACGAATAACGGAATTTCTTCTCCACCTAATAAATGAGCAACAAAAAAATCTCCAATTTTGTATTTAACATTATCGATTAATACCCATTTGACGAATTCAACAATATCGCCATAGATAAATGGACTATCATCAGTTAATGCATTTTGTATTGATTTGTGAAAAGTTATTGTTCGTCGTGTACGAATTTTACCACTAACGTTATTTAATCTAAACGCATTTTCATCAATTAATTCATAACACTGACGTAGTTGTACACGTTTAGAAATTGTATATGGTAAATTAATAAAATTATTACATCGATTAGCTATTTGTTTTAATAAATGATGTTTCGCCTCATAACGTAAATTCATTTGTCGCTTTAATGGACCATATTTCGCTGTGTTTCGTGCTGAATGAAGAAGAAAATGAAATTTAGGAGTGAATTGTTCAGGAAAAATTGTTTGAAACAATTGCAGAAATTCTTCAATTAATGTTTGAAGAGTTGATAACCAAGATTTTCTTGGAAAATCACAATACAGTATATCCCATATTTCACGAAATAATTCATATAAAAACCAATAAGGAATTCTGTCAAGAATATCGAATAACATAAATGGTAAATTCAAAAATAAACAATATTTTTCCATCGCTTTTCCTACAAGAAAAAAAAAGGATTTATATTGTTGATTTCAGGGTCATAATTTTGTTGTTTCTGTCTAAAAACTATTTTTTTTGTATTGATCAACAACTACAATTCATTGTTAAAACAAACGAAAAAGATATTATGCTTACCTCGAATAATTTTTTCTGAAATATCTTTTTCTTTCAATGCAAGTGGTCGATTTCTTTTATCGTTGTTGCCATAGGTAAATTTATTTATCATTTGACAAATTTTTGACGATGTGCACAAACGACTAGACATCATTGAATGCAATAAACAGCTAGTTAATTTTGGCATAACGCCTTCCAAAACGTCATGCATCAAATCCGGTGGCAGAGAAGTAATTGGATGAAATGATGAAATAAATGATAATGTTGATGCTTCGTTAATACCATACATAGATTTGTCCGAGGGCACTTTTTCAACATGTCTTATCTGAATATCATAAGATTCAGTTGTACGAATTAATGTTTGTGATTCCTGGTAAATGCGTTTCATATCTTTATGATGCGTGAAACAATAGCGGCAACAACAACCAGTAGTAAATGTTCTTGTAAATCCGCCGAGTTCATGTGCTAAATAAAAATAAAATTAGCAGAATAACTAACTGTTAAATTATATAGGGTATAAATGTATGCTAATCACAGTAGTATTAAATGGATTTTACCTTAATATATTATTCTAAAGAGAATCTTTTGATTTTAAAAATATTCGAACTTTTGAAAATTTATTTGGACAGCCTTTTCCTTTTGTAAAATATTTCACTGAAAGATTTACTTGCTAGATTATCAGCACACATTGTGCTAATTGTAAAGTAAGTTGGGGTTTTATCACCAGGTAATATAAGACCATCATTTTCTAAACTTTTTAAATCTTGACTTAATGGTGCAAACAAAATTCGACGATTGTTTTCATCGTCAAAATCTTTTCTATAATATAATAAGAGTAAATATACTGTACTTAAAGAAGAACTATGACATGCTGGTAAATCATCGATCGAAATATAAAACGTCGTCAGTTTATGTATAGCATTTTTACCCATTAATGGATTAACAACACCTAAATCATCAGAGTACAATTGTAATAATACACAATTTTTTTTTCTATTTAATATACGATGTTGTCGTCCAATTTCTGCATTTCGATAATGATAAATAATATCTTGTTCATGAAATTGGGATATAATTTCTTTTTCTTGTTTAACACTATCATAAAAATCTTTTTTTTCAAATAAATTCATAAGTAGATCACGTAATGGAATGTAATAAGCTTTGTTTCCAGTAGGTAAACGTATTTCTTTTGGCTTGACAAACTTGAAATAAATTTGGCAACAGGAAATGAACGAATGGTCATTTCTTGATATTTCAAATAGTGTTTTTTCAACATCATTGTTGAAATTGAATGATATGGGATTGTCAATATTCATATGAAGCTTTGATAACAAATGATAAGAAAAAAATTGTAATAAGCAAGTAATAGACAATGCCATGGTCTTCATAACACTTCCAGGAAGTACATGACCTTCTCGTATTTTTAACAGCATCTTCAAGTAAAACTTTTTTATACCATCTAACGAATCATGATTTTCATGCTGCCACAATGTAATTCCCTGTTCTTGTTGTTCGTGTTGTTCATATTCAATTTCATCATAATTGTTTGAAGTAAAATCGTTACAATTTAGTAACAACGATAAGGGAGGCGTCTCTTCCGAAGAAAGATGTAAGTCATGATTACGAAAATGATTCATAAAAGATTTAAAATTAGTAAATATAAAATTAGAGTCACACAATGGACAATTTGTGCCGAATAAACGATCAGTACCGTGTACTTGTCGCATATGACGCATGTATCCAGCAGCTCCTTCAACACTTACAGGACAAATTGTACATCTTTTTACACAGCTAATAGACATCGATGAAGTAATAACAAATATAAACTGAATAAGTCAAATAACCATAATCCTAAAATAAAAAATAAAAAATCATAATACTCATGTATAACTATACAGTTTTCTTTTAATGTTTTCCTGATACCAAAACCATCAATCCCGCATGCGTAGAATAAAGTAAATATGCAAATGCCTGCTATATATATAACAATAATATAGGCACCAAATAAAGAAAAACAAATGATTGCATAATAGTTCCTTAGTTGCCTAATAATAGACGAGGACAATGGTGACAATGATGACAATGATCACCAAAGACGAAGAAGACGGCGAAAATGAATCCGAAGTGAACGAGAGAAATGCGAAGTGAAGTGCATGTGTTGAATAATATTATGCGATATCTATCGAGCGCTAAACAATGGGAAAAGATGGCGATAGACTAAAAACAACAGCAAACAAATAACTAATAGAGAAAGAGTTATTCGCCGTCTGATGCAATCTCGCTTGACTTTTAAAAAAATGAAAGAAATTTTTAAGTATTGTATTTTCTTTGTGATCAAATAATCCCAATCAAGATATGGCTATTTTTGAAAAGAAAAAATTAGTTAACATTGCAGCAATAATCCAATTTGCTGTAAAAATCAGTATCACAAAAATAAAATATAAAATTTTAATATTTTTCCAGTCAAAGAGTATATTAATTCACTAGAAGCTTATCTAACATATAAATCAAAAGCATTATCAATATAGTTGAATAACAGTAGATTTGTTTATATGTAGCAAGTAATCCTACAATCACTTGCTTATGTAAAACATTCTATAAGAATTCTACACTTTTCAGATCTTAAGTTACTATTTGCAATTGAAAAATCTGTGCAACTCGTTGTAAGTAATCAGTAAAACAATTAACGTAGCGTATTAGATGAGTTTTCTCTAATAAATTGAAATCTTGGATTGTGAACGTTGGAGACCAATCATATCAATTAATTTTTAGAAATGTTAGAGATACAAACATATTGATACATATTACAAATTTTCCTAATTCGTCATTGATTTTCAAACTTTGCCTACAATCCATGTCGATTTTCTCCTTTTTTGAAAATGTACATTTCAAGAAAATCAAATTGAATTTTTGTCATTTTGAAAATCAAAGAATTTCAAGATGCACTGAATTCGACAAATAAATCATATAGCGTTTAAAATCCTTCAGCTTTCTCAAAGTCGATTTTTCAAAAAATAGAATTTCAAAAAAATTTACAGTGTGGTCACCAGAATCAACTCTCCGAGTTTCTGATAAACACAATTACTACTCGAAATGATTCT